TTCTGTTGAAAAAGCTCCATTTATACATACATATTGAGTTCTATTAACAAGATAATTTTTAAACCAGGTGTTGGCCACATTTTTGAAACCATAATGATTTAGTTTTTTTAAAAGTATGTCTAAATCACAACAATCAACAGCTTTCTTTAAGTCTAGGAATATTCCAAGAGTAAATTCTGGTTTAGATTTATTAAGATTTTCATAGATTTTATTCATTAAGTGCAAAAGTGGTTGATTTGTGTTATGTTTAGGTCTAATCCATATTGGTGCTCGTAAAAGATGTTAAACTTATTAAGATATCTGAACATTTGTATTGCAGCAATTTTTTTCAAGTAGCTTACTCAAAGCTGGAAGAATACTTATAGGTCTGTAATTATTAAACTTATCTTTTTCGTCCGTTTTAAAGATGGGAATAATTTTTACACATTTATACTCGCTAGGGATGTATCCTGTTTTAAAAGAAACATTAAATGCATAATACCAGTATTTACTTTGCAGTACATTGTAGTACCCTGTACCCTGAAGCACTCTGTATACCCTGTTTCCATCACTTTCCATAAAAAGATTTGGGAATTACAAATTGGTGTTTTTGCCATTCCTCCCTCCAATGAATCATCAGCTGTTTAGTTTTAAACCATCAACGGAACCTCTTTTATACTGTTATACACAAATGAAAATAATGCAAAACTAGAGTAAAGTGCAACCCAGAAAAGCTTCTATATAAGTTCTAAATATTTTTGTTCAAAATAAAAATTCAGTTTGGTTTGGCAACTTTTTTCTGCAGAATCTTTCCTACTTTCTGAAAGGTTTCACATCGATATGTATAAGGATATCTACTCGATATAAAGCAATATTTGTTAATACTTATTTTAACTCAAACTCTTAACTAAATGAATATAGAAAAAATATGCCGGTTTAAGAAAGTTTTAGATAGATATTTGTAATAATCCAGAACAAAAAGTTTTATCAAAATTAAACTTTTTTAGGTTTATTGGACGTTTTCAAAAAAATGCAAAAAAATCATTTCTGACACCCCTAGGCTTAGTACGTCAATATAATTCACCAAAACCATACTGCAGTCCTTCAATTATGATACAGGGAAATTTTCATCTTTCTAAACATCCCAACGAATGATTTGACAGGTTCTTTGAAATTATAAAATTTCTGCAAAAAAATACATTCTAAGCCTTTGAGTTTGTTGAGAGCTAACCCTCAAATAATTTCTTTCTTGACCCGTCTGAAATATTTGCAGCACTCTTTTATGATTAGAATTGGTTTGTTCACTTCTATCCACAGAATAAATTGAATAATTTGTCTTTATAAGCCCCTATTCATAAACGTAATGGAGCATTCTGTACTGAATAAATATATAGATTTGTCAAAAATATTTGTTTTAAGTCTGATCTCTAGAACTGAATATTGTCAAAATATATTTGTTTTAAGTCTGATCTCTAGAACTGAATATTGCAAATATATTTGTTTTAAGTCTGATCTCTAGAACTGAATATTGTCAAAATATATTTGTTTTAAGTCTGATCTCTAGAACTGAATATTGCAAAAATATTTGTTTTAAGTCTGATCTCTAGAACTGAATATTGTCAAAAATATTTGTTTAAGTCTGATCTCTAGAACTGAATATTGCAAATATATTTTTGAAATGAATTTACTTCACATAAAGTTTAGTTTTTATACAATGGACATGTAATTGTATAGACACATGAAAAGTATGTAATTGTAGAGATATTTATGCATATACAGACATGTGATAGAGAGATGTTTCCAGCTAACGAAACGTTTCGCGAAAAAATACGAACATTTTCGGTCGCATTTCGCAAACTTTTTCGCGAAAATTCACATTTTTCTCGAAAATTAATTAAGCGAAATTAAGCGAAAAAATTTGCATTTATTTCGCGAAAGTGCGAAATGCGAAAATTTTGTGAAAACCATGAGTTTTACAGGTACAACAATTAATTGCTTAAAATAACTTGTGGAATTCTAATCTCCGATAGCTCAATATTTGATTTTTATTATGTCATTTAAATAATTTCTCTGCATTTACTTTAATAAATGTTTAAATTTTGCGTTTGTTTAATAAAAATGTTTGTTAAATTTTCGTATTCTTTGCATAATTTCCATTTTTATTCGCGATATTTTCGCTTTTGTTCGCAAATTTTTCGCATTATTTTTTCGCTAAATTTTCCAATTTTCTATTTTGAGGAAATTTAGCATTTTTTTGCGAAACAGATTGAAGCGAAATTTTGCAAAAAAAGCGAAAATGCTCGCATTTTTCGCTAAACGATTTTTTTTCGCTGGAAACCCTAGTTGTATAACCTAGGGTTTCCATAAGAGATCTATATGTACATACAGGTATGTACATGTATGTAGAGAGGTCTTTGCGTACATAAGAGGTCTATCTGTATATATGAATATAATGCGTGAATAGAGGTCAATACGTACATAGAAGAATTTTATACAATTAGTTTATTGAATTTCCATAATAGATTTGTCAGAGGTCTTTACACACTTGACATTTTATACTTTATCAAGAGAATTTTCCTGACATAAAATTAGTCAAAACTAAGTTTATCCTCGCTGAATCACAATTCTATCTATTTACCAAGATTCTGAAAGCAATCGTAATGAGAAATGTTATATGTGTGAAATTTAAAACACAAGACAGTACGAGTACGAGATTAAAAAAGAATAATTTGAAAAGCGTGGAAACATTTTGATATTTAATATTGCTAAAATAAAATTGATCTAGAAAGCACAATCTATATTTTCTAACATACGTGCGATACATTTTATAGAATCAAAATCAATAAAAAATAAATTTTGAATAGAATACTCAGAGAGAACAAGAGCAACATGACAATTCTTTAGTTCTATCTGTGTAGTAATGTACACCTTTCTTGTTTGTGACAGGCAATCTGTATGTATGATTATTAATGGCAAACTACAGTAGGAAATAAAAATAGATTTATATAGAGTGGAATGGTCATTAGAAAACTGACCGTACTCTTTGCACCTTAGTCTTATATCGACGACCAGCCGAGAGTAGTGTAAAGTTCATAATTAATATATTTTCAGAATGGGACATATGTCAGTAACTTCAAAAAGGAGCCTTTTCAAAGTAGTACACAAATTTTCAAGCTTTGTAGCTATACCCTCAAAATTGCGTATGTAATTTCGTTGTTGTTGTCTTTTGTAACTCTTTTCTAAAATTAATGCTTCGCGCGTTTACGCAGATTTGACATTTTTTAAGTTGCTTGATCCGAGCCGGTACAATATGTACTGCCGAGCCGGTACAATATGTACTGCCGAGCCGATACAATATGTACCGTTTATGCATCATGTCGCACTATCCAGTCTGGACTACCCAAGTAAACTTGACCCAGCACGTTTTTTTGAAACAAATGTAGCCTGGCAAGATCACATGGGGGGGGGTCTTCCAGGTAAAGCTTATCTTTGTATGAAATCTACTTATATTTACAGCTATAACAGTCTTTTTTTAATAACAGATGCTTGTTTGCTATCATACAGAGGGATAATAATAGCTTTAGTAACAATACAACAAACCTAGACAGGGGGTCGGGGATAATTAGAAATAAAGCTGTCGTATTTCACATCGTTAAAGGGACAGTAAAGGAAAAATGAAAGGGGGTATAGGCTGAAAGCTAATCACTTTAGCTCTTGATCGCGACCCATGAAAGTTTTATCTGATGTTCCTGTGTCGAGAAACTGATATAAAACTGTGTTAAAATTATACGAAAATTCATATATGTAAAATTTTGAAAATCTGAAACTTAAATCACGTGACCAGAAATACCACCAATGGCAGAGCAGTATACTGGTCACGTGTCTCCGCCTGTATCACGTGACCACTTTACTGCACTGCCATTGGTGGAATTTCTGGTCAAGTAATACGGACGTAAAAATAATATTATGAATGAAATCTGTTGAAAATAGAAACAACAAATATAAAAGTAAACCTAAATTACAATTAGCTTTCTCTGCAGGGGCGGACACAGGATTTAAGTGAGGGGGTGGCAAGATTTTTTAGGAACAAAAAAATTGATAATTAGGAACAAAATTAAAGGATTAGGACAGGGATTTAGGAACAATAAAAAGATTGCTCAGGAAATAGGAACAAAATTAAAGGATTAGGACAGGGATTTAGGAACAATAAAAAGATTGTCCAGGAATTAGGAACAAAATTAAAGGATTAGGAAAGGGATTTAGGAACAATAAAAAGATTGTTCAGGAATAAGGAACAAAAATATAGGATTAGGACAGGGATTTTAGGTGGGTCGGACACAGTATTAGGAACAGGAACAATAATAGGAACATTAGCAATTTAAGAACAAAAAGAAATTACTAGTTTCTTACAAATTTCTAATTCTAAATTTATCGTTAACAATAACATTTACTTGTTGTCGTTGATTTTTAAATTAAACTGAAGAAAAGACTCAAAATGTGCAGTGTGCCGCGTACCAATAAAACAAAACAGTAAACACAATGTCTGTCGTCGTATACTTACATCATTGGTTAAAAACTTATATTTATTTTTAACAAGCTAGAAAAATATTTTTTTCGTCCTTCTCTTCTGATGATTCAATTTTTCAATAAATATTAATTATAATATTTCCATTAAATAAAAAATAATTAAATAGCTTAAAATTGAAAAACACATACGATTTATCAAATTGGGAACATTTTTTGCCTCGAAATCTCAGGGGGGGGCTACGCCCCTCCCTGAATCCGTCAGGGGGTGGCGAATGTCCCCCCGCCACCCCCCTGTGTCCGCCTTTCTCTGGGATATCATCGTTTTCAGATTGGTTGCTTATTTGCTGAATATGATCTATTTAAACCCACTACTTTTATACAAAATTGTATATATATTAATTTTCGTATAGATTTGACACAGTTGTATATCAATTTCTCGAGACAGGAACATCAGAAATGACTTTCATGGGTCGCGATCAAGAGCTAAAGTGATTAACTTTCAGCCTATACCCCCTTTCATTTTTCCTTTACTGTCCCTTTAAAATCAAAGATTTACCTTTACAAGACACCCAATCTTACTCAATTTAAACTAATTTTAGAAGAATATTCTACGGAAGAACTAAAAAGCAACATAATTTCACTGCAAGGTTATCTTCTGGGTTCTCTAGGTCTGCTGCATATAAAGGGACGTTTTGAAAGACAGTCAACAGTCTTAAAAAAAACATGAAATTGTAAAATGATTTTTGTTTTATTTTCAAAATGTTTGTTACCTGTATTGTATAGAGGATGGAAACATCAAAACAAGCAAAACTTTAAAAATAGAAAATAAAAATAAATTATTAGAGTTTACAGCAATGGAGGTTGAGGCTATATTATAATAACAATTTAAACACACTTAAATATCGTACACTTAGCCGTAAAGAACCGTAGCTAGGAATCGATATCCTTAGCTTTCCGTACTGCATTATTTTGTTTACTTCTTCTTAAAAATCTCACGGGGGGGGGGTTAGCAATTTCGAGAGACAATGAAAAGAGGGCAATGCCTGATTTACAACGGTACCATTAAACATTAATCTAATAAAAAATTTGGAAAATACCTGACTCTAAAAGTGTCTAATATTAATAGATAACAAAATATACCTGTTATTAAACTCATGAGCTGATCTAGCATTGGAAAAATTCAACCCATTTTCTTCTCCCCCACCCTTTCTTTTTAAATGTTCTAAACACAAACGAGATAAAAATGTTTTTAATATTAAAATCATACATTTTAGGTATATTGATAAAAGTATGGGTTTTCTTTGCAAGACAATTTGACGATTGTGAATCTACAAATGTTAAATAATATATTTTACACTAAAACATTTTATGCAATTTGAAATGCTTTGAAAAATGTAGCTAGATGGAAATTCCCAACGTTTTTTTTTTAAATTTTAACCAAAATTGAAAGTTTTGAAAAGTTTGCAAAGACGATATCAAATTTTACTTTAAATTTAGTTTGTTCCTGTAAACCCTGTCATGCACATAATAGCGTAATAACATTTTACAAATACTATTTACAAAACTGAAGATTGAAATAAGCGCTTTTGATTTTCATCCCTAAAATAAAAATCTCCTGCTCCAAAAAAGTAAATATGAGTTTGTAAGAACAAATCAATGGTAAATATCTTTAAAATTTATCCGGTCTCAACAATTAAAGCATTTATTTCACAACTTTTTATATTATATTGGTGTACCTATATTTCACAGCTGTTTATATTATATTGGTGTACCTATATTTCACAGCTGTTTATATTATATTGGTGTACCTATATGTTCATTGGTTCCAATCCAGAATGGGGGAGGAATGAGAGTTATTAAATAATCTAGATCTTTCTGAGCAAAATACAATTTAAAATAAAGGAACTGTAAACGTAATATCAAGTGATTCTCCCTTGTAGAGTGGAAAGTTTTATTCATAAGTTTTGTCTTATCAATAATAAATGAGCCATCCATGTTTCTCTTTTTGTGTTAGTTCTTTTCGAATAAAGGGCCACTTGAAGTTCCAAGAACATTCACTTAAAGCGCAAGATTGTGTTTTTTATTACGGAAAAAGCCAAGGTTTTGTCATTTTTTCAGTCGTTTTTTTTCTAAAATGCATTAGTTATTTTAAAGAAAATGATGGGGCACATATTGAGATTTTGATTTATTAAGTCATCCCAATAAATTTTGATGACATTAATATTAATATTTCCCCCCCCCAAAAAAAAAATGAAAAAAATTAAACTTTTCTATTGTTTTGAGTTTAAAATGCGTATTTTCTGTATTTACACTCCATTACTTTTTATAGTATTACAAATCCACAAATCTGTCTTGTTTCAGATTTATTGTAAAATATTGAAAGTATGATGTATTTATGCTCCTGAGATCTGTACAGGGGGAAATCAGAATTCTGCTTTTTACAAAAATTCCGAGCAGTCTAAAATAGAAACAGACTTTTTCAAAAAAAAAAAAAAACTCTATCTGCGGCTTGACCCAGGAGAGGCTGAATGCTATCCTTCTATATATTTATATTCCGGAAGAGAGGGGGGGGGGCTAGCAAGATGCCTTACAGTATGGAGTATTCCAAGGTGTAAATTGGACAGTGATAATTTTTTAAATACCTTGCTCTCGAAAATATTTAAAACTGGGAGAGTATTTTGGTAAGGAAGGTTTTACGAAATCTATTAAATACTTTTTTGAAGTTTATAGGGTTTTTTAAAAAAATGATCAGACTGTTGTACTAGCCTTGCATCTAAAAATTAGTTTTAAAAATTATTCAGTTTAATTTGTGATAGAACATAAGCATTCTAATTTATTATTAAAATATCCCATTAAAATAGAAGTTTTAATATTTGTTGCATTTACATTACAAATAAAATATGAACAAGCTGAAACTAGGCCTTTAAACCTTGAAATCTGCACCGTGAAATTAAATGTAAACATTAACATTGAAATATATTTTGAAACAAGAATCAGAGCTGAAAACTTTAAAATAGTGGATATCGAGATCAATGCTTGATCTCCTGGTTTTACTAAACCCAAGATTATTATGTTAATACGCATTCGATATTCAAGAAAGAAGTTTAAATTCAACCAATCAGTGCGTCATGTTTAATACACTCTTTAACTTTTTAAAAACAGGCATTTAATTTTAGCGCATTTCTGGTGTTGATGGATTCAAATAAATTGATCTAATGATCGATTAAAGGAACGTAAATTTTGGATTAATGTGTTTTAAAAATAACGTTCAAAATTAGTATAGTTCACAAATGTGTTTTTTTATAATTTCATACAAACATGATTAAATTTATATTTGTCCAAATGCTTTAAAAGTCGGTTTTTGAACAGTTAATCCTTTAGTTCAATCGGATATTAGACCAATACTTTTTAAGTTATGTTAAAAAAATGAGTGGGGGGGGGGGGGGAAAAGAAACCCTTCCCCCCCCCCCCAGCAGGAAATGGGTTAATCCGTTATCTAAGAATAATCTTTAAAGTAATATATGATTCAATTGTTCGCGATTATTCAACAAAAATTTGTTAGAAAATTACAGCGACAAAATGTATTCAATATTTAACAAATAAAAAAGGCTAACTTCTAAACGTTATTTTGGAAAACTGCATGGATCCTTTTTTAGTCTGTATACGCGGATGATCATTAATTATTTTAAATAAAAAACGGTCATAATTTTTTTCGAATAAACAAACATTTATTTTAAAAGTAATAATAGCAATCATATTTTTTTTCTAAAAGTTTATAAAACTAAATGGGTAAAGAAAAAATCTTAATAAGATTATCAATAAATATGTATCTACTACTTTATTCAATGTTTCTTCGGAGAAAATTGGACAAAAACTCTCAATTAAATTCCTTTTAACTCATTTACTTCTGTAAACACGTTTTCTGAATAAAATGCTGTTTTCCTGAAAAGTGACTCTTGGATATTGTAAACTGTAACAGTTTGTAGAAAAATTATGCCACCCATGGGAACAACCTGAAAAAATATATACTTATCAAAGGGAGTAAATGCAAAAAATGTATACTAATCAAAGGGAGTAAGTGCAAAAAATGATCTTTTACTAAATGATACACTTCTAATCTGGGACCAAACAAATTTAGTCTTTGCCACAAACTCAAATTTTCTAATCACTATATCTTCTCAACCTGAAATTTCAAACTTAGATTATTAGATCAGAGGTCTTTGATATTGAACTGCTCTGCGCCGGATTACAATCCTGCAAATTCGTTTCTCTTAGTACAGCAATTTTTGATACATGAGCTTCATCTAAAATTGTCAGGTATATTCCCTTTTGAACTTTAACACGCGCCTGGTAAGATTAAGAACGCGGATGAAGAAAGAGAGGGCGCGATAGACGAGTAGAGCGCGGCACCGAGTTTTCATCGGGCCTGGTGAGGCCTGGAAGGCTCACTTCCACGACGACTTTTGACTTATATTGACTTTTAAAACAAGTGCTTATAAATTCTAACTTTTCAGATTTAGCAATGAAAATGGGAGCGTTTCGACAGGGAGGCTTCCAGGTGAAGTTGTGTAAATTCAAAAATATAGAACTTATACAATTTTCCAGACTGCACAGATATAGGGATTAGGATTTTTGCGAAAAAGAGAAAAATAAATTAGCTGAACCACTTTTTTTTTGATGGCTCAAGTTCAAAAGAAACTAAGTTTACTTAGCTCTATATTCATGAATTTTTGTAGTTTGTTCTTTATTGGTTTTGGCTCAATATGTATATAATGTTTCAATCGTTTTGGTCCGTTTTCTGCACATTTCTGAGGGTCCCAAGACGAACATTTTTCATTGGCTTTACAATTTTTTGATACAAGTTAAATAGAAGCAAAATTTACCATAATACAGTTTGAATTGTTGAAGTTTTATTAAAAGTTTTTAAAAACGTACCAAACTGATAATTAATTGCTATCTCTAAAAATATTTTTTGCTTGTCTGTCAGTTTGTTTCTTTATTTGTATCCAATAAACGTCAAAACGGCTGAACCGATCGGGCCCATTTTTTTGTGGGACCTCACATGCCCCAGGGAAGGTTTATAAAAGGATCAAAACTTAAAACATTTGCTTCTACTAAAATAGGATATTTACTAAATTTGGAAAATCCACGATTTTGTTTTATAAAATCCATGAACTTAAATATTGTTTTACAATATATACAAGTATAAAACGTTCACAATTGAAATAGAATATGGGCGCGAAGCGGCCTAAAAGCCTAGATTACTTTATTGTACTGTATACCTGTGCTTCCTTTAAATGTGATTACACCTTAATTTAACATATATAAGAAGAAGATTTATCTAATTAAATGGCAAAACAAAAGAGGTAGCTTTTTTATCTTCAATTACATGTTATCTTTAAGAAATGACTAATTTATTCTTCTTCAAAACAATAATATTAAATCATACTAAATTATAGATAATAATTTTTCAGATTTTTAGGTTTTAGGTTTTATAGGCTTATCACCCCTATAGGGAGATCCATCAAACTGTGAAATAGACGACATTTATGGCATTAAAGTTGATAAATCAAGCTATTTAAAAACACTAAATATAAACCTTTGTTATTCTATGTCAGCCTTTAAAATGTCAATGTAAAATGTGTCCAAACACTCGAGTATTTCCTATGTAGATATGATATAGACAAGATAAAATATTTTTGATTTCATTATATACTATTTTCCTGTTGCTAGCAGCCTGATAAGTGTAGCTATCCCAGTAACCAACGGGAGTACAGTACATATAAATATACAAACACGACGCTGTAGTAACACTTGACGCTTCAGATTGTAAACAGTCTAAAATATTGAAAAGTTTTTTTCAGTTTGTTTTATAAAATTTAAATTTTGTACTTTTAAGAAAATATTAAAGAAAGAAAAACACGGATTATAAACGAACAACTATGAAAAGTGTGGCTGTAAGCTAGTGAATTAGGGTTTCAAAACATCACAGTTGTCAATATGTCTATTTTCTATTACAAATACAAAACTTAATATTCATTATTCCCTGCTAAGAACTATGTTAAAGTCTAGAAAGGAATGGTGTTTTTGCACCAAACTCAAATTTGTTGATCCCTTTATCTTTGCAACCTGATGATGTCAACCTTTGATATTACACATTAAGACTTTTTTATCTAATAGAGTTTAAAGTCTGACATATCTGGGTTGCAAAGATAAAGGAATTGGAAAATCAGAGTTTGTGGAAAAACTAAATTCATTTTCTAGTTTTCAAATCATGATTATCAAAATAAGATTTTTAAATATAAATGAAAAATAACGATTTCAATCATAAAATATTTTGATAATCAAAGTGCTCCACAAAATTTGAAATGTTAATCAAACAATAAGAATTGTTCTTTCAATAAGTTTGCATTAATTGCATTTGCAAAGGAATTGAGTCTTTTCCACAAACTTTGGTTTTCTATAAAGATCCTATATCTTTTAAATGTCTTAGAGCTTAGATATTTCAAACCATGAATTTTGTAAAATCAAATAGTCTAAGTTTGAAATATCAAAGGTTTGCACCATCGAGTTTCATAGAATTAGTGATCAGAAAATTCGATTTTGTTGCAAAGACACAATTCCTATTTTTTTCTGACCAAAAATATTTCAGATCGAGGCCCATCTCTACTTACAGGATCCTGATCAGGTGTTGATGTATGAAGTCTAGCATGAGCCTCTTCTATTCTAGCACTCACTGTATTTATTGGTATAACACCCTATACAACAAATACTGGGTTTAAAGAGAAAAATTCTCGATTTACATGTTTCTTCAAATAATATTTTTTTAAAATTCAATACGTAAATCCGATACACGATTTTCACTTTTCAAACTAAAATAATGAAACATACAATAGAAATAAAAATAATATCGTAAATAATGAAAAAAAATTGAGTTTTACATCTTCAATACTATATCCTGATCTATTTCAATTTCTTTATAAAATGCTTACATCTTCAATACTATCCTGATCTATTTCAATTCTGTTTACAAACCGACGTTGCCATCTCATTGCTTTAAACACTCTGAAATTAGAAGTATGTATACTCAGGTATAGAAAAGAGGGTACAATTTTGTTTACAGTGCAGCGGATAATTACACAGTTTAATGCAAGGTTATAATGCTAGGAAAGTCAATTGCAGTTGCGTATACTCTGCGGTACAGTTCTCTCCGTGTGGAATTTGTAAACAAGAATAGATGCATTAGAGTTTGTTTAGTATCCGAGGAGGTTAAAAGCATTAAAATTTGATAATTTTGATAATTCACAAAATAGTTTCCTATGACCAGAATATTTCATTGTTTTATTTTTATGTGACAGATGGATCCCATGTCAGACTTCGACATCCGTCTTGTGTTTACATTACCGCCCAGAGACAGTACACTGCAGTACAAGAGATGCGTACACCTCTAAAATAACTTTCCTTTCATTATAACCTTGGTTAAATCCTTCCAAGTCAAACTAAAGTATATTGAATGAAGGTTTGATTTTTGTGCTTTTGATCCAACCCTTTTTGTTAAAGAGCTATCGAGATAAATATAAATGCCTTGAATTTCTTACATGTAACCGAATACTTTTCTTTGTGCATAAAATAAAAACTTAAGGAGATATGAAGTCGTACGTACCCGTAATGATGTATACATTTGTAAACACATTTTTGGAAAAATTATAGAATTTTAGAATTTTAAAATTTAGAAGTTAAAAACTGTAATAACGGTTTCTGTATGGTGTGTTAGTATATATTTAATGCTTTTTTATTGCAATAGAATTGACTTTACATATAAAAATATACTTGAAATGCGTTTTACAAAATTGTGTTTCATGACAAGTATTACCTTAAACTACAATAACCCAAAACTAAACTGGAACTTAAACAACTCTAACCTAAACTTAAGTTCTATTCAAAGGAAAAACTAAATTTAAGTTGAGCTTAAGTGATATTAATTGTCGACTCTGAATAAATATTTAATTATTAGCGCAGAATATTGAATGAATGTATACTGTGCATGTTATATAAATTATTACTAATAACTATACTGTAATATATGTGAACACATAGACTTTCTATATATATATACCATCTCAAACTCGCATCTCAAACTTGCAAGAAATGTTGAAATCATAATTTCTTCTGTACTATTGGATGAGGGGAGGAAGGCCAGCCTCAAAAATTTCTCTTCCGAGCCACATTCTCCTCATTTTCTCGCCTGAGCCACCTCGAATTCATCGTCCTTCGCTTATTATGTGTTTTTAAGTTTCTAATTCTTAAAGATAAAGCTATCTTTAAAACATCAGGCCACGTTAGCGCATAAAATATTGATAGACTAAAGTATTACAATGATTATACATCTTGTTGAAATCTTCAAAGCGTGAGAATGATTTCAAACTTTATTTAGGTAAAACTTGAATCTCTTCTGCCTTTGTGATACGAAATAAAAAGCAAAATATTTGGCATACCTCTGCCTATGATTTTCCCCATGGAACCACCAGAAAAACATGGTTTTCGCTATAATTAAGAAAAAAGATTCTATAAACTTTTAATTTTTTGCGGCACTCTAAACCTAGATTATCTGAAAATGCGCGTAAAAAAGGTGAATATTTTTCAGGACATTACACTCAAAAACTTTAATTCTATTCAAAGTATTTTTTTCAATTTACAAAAATTTAATATTTCGTTTTTGCTCTAACGTGACCCAATTCTTAGAAAATAGTTATATCTTTGAGAATTGAACATTTTAAAAAGATAAATTCGATGGACGAGGATTTCGTGGGGGCTCGGACTAGAAAATGAGAAGAATGTGGCTTGGTCTAGAAATTGTTGTGGCTGGCATTTCTCCCCACATTGGATAAAGAATAAGGTTTTGTTTTAAAGGTATAAAAAATGTATTTCATACATTGCAGAATGCTCAATCATCAACGATCCGCTTCATTTGATAGTGAATTCAAAACTACTTTGTTAATATTAATATTTATTAATATTAATTGAGAACAACAATTCTAAACAGTATTTGTAAGCGAGAGAAAAATATTACACTCACGTTGAATTTTGCGTTTATCTAAATCAAGAAAGGATTAAAGTTAAGAATATAATAACTCCTTAAAATTAGTTATGTGGTACAAAAGTTACCAGAAGCGACTTAATTTAAAAGTTCTGACGTTGTTTATGAATACACAATACACATTTTTCACATACAACTATTGTATCGCTTATTTAAAAAGACAGCTGGTGTCCCATAGAAAAGGTGATTAAGGGGTTTTGTTTCCTTTTCGTGCATACAGAGTCTCATTTTTTTCTTTAGCATGGACCCCAATTTATAAAGTTTTAAAAACCCTTATCACTTTTTTGGAGGCACTCTGCATACATATATATAAATATTTTTGAGAATTGATTTCTCTATTTCCGGATTGAAGAAGCTGGTCTGTGCTGGGCTAGGTGGAAACCGGAAGTTGGAAGAATATCCTTCTATCAATCCAAACCAAACCTTCCTTGAAATCTACGAAGAGAATAATCTAGAAGATATTGGATCCAAATCAAACCTTTAAAATCCTATTTCAATGGGCCGGGTGTGCATGAATAAAAAGGTGATGTACAATGTACATAATCAAATCCTATTAAAAGGTGATGTACAATGTACATAATCAAATCCTATTTAAAGGTGATGTACAATGTACATAATCAAATCCTATTTAAAGGTGATGTACAATACACATAATCAAATCCTATTAAAAGGTGATGTACAATGTACATAATCAAATCCTATTTAAAGGTGATGTACAATGTACATAATCAAATCCTATTTAAAGGTGATGTACAATATACATAATCAAATCCTATTTAAAGGTGATGTACAATATACACAATCAAATCCTATTTAAAGATGATGTACAATGTACATAATCAAATCCTATTTAAAGGTGATGTACAATGCACATAATCAAATCCTATTTAAAGGTGATGTACAATGTACATAATAAAATCCTGTTTAAAGGTGATGTACAATTTACATAATCAAATTCTATTTAAAGGTGATGTACAATGTACATAATAAAATCCTGTTTAAAGGTGATGTACAATGTACATAATCAAATCCTATTTAAAGGTGATGTACAATGTACATAATCAAATCCTATTAAAAGGTGATGTACAATGTACATAATCAAATCCTATTTAAAGGTGATGTACAATGTACATAAGCAAATCCTATTTAAAGGTGATGTACAATGAACATAATCAAATCCTATTTAAAGGTGATGTACAATGTACATAATCAAATCCTATTTAAAGGTGATGTACAATGTACATGATCAAACCATATTTAAAAGGGGTTGTATAATGTACATAATCAAATCCTATTTAAAGGTGATGTACATGAATTTTAGTTCTAGTTCAGTTTGGAGGAAGTATTTATGTAGCAATTTTTACGAGATTATGTCAGAATATGCAAATTTTGGTATAATTTTGGTTAACATTATAATGATGGAAAAATTTCCTATTCAAGTATATTTTAAGTAAAGAAATAGAAAATAAATAATTCTTAACTGCAACACATCAATAAGCTTTCTCATAATCTAGTATTCTTCTGTAAAGTTTAATTCAAAGTTTTTAAATTATTAATTTTAATTTTAATTTTAATTTTCTTCCTATTTGGTTTAAATACTTTCCTTTTCCCAATGTAAATTTTTTTCTTGATTTATACGTTTTTTGAAAAGTAAAGGAAACTCATAGTAATTATAAAAAATACTTTAAATTACTAACTAGAAAGTATTTCATCATATAGAAAAAAATAATCAATAATTGGCAAAATTGGAGCTTGAGTACTTTTTAAGAATTAATGATATTTTTTTAGGACTAGAAAAATTGTAACTGAGAGGTTATTGGCTTTTCTTATAAAGAGTTGTTCGTTTTTCAACACTTTGTATCGATCGTTTCTGAAGGATCTGATAGGGGGGGGGGGTTGACGCCCCCTCTAGTTTTTTGTCCTGGCTCTCTCATTTTAAAAACCATAACCGCGTAAAATTTTGTGACTTTTAATGTATAGAAATTCAAAGGATTCAATTTGTTTTAATGCATATGGTAGGATATAGGGCGTTAAAAAGTCCGGTCTTTAAAAAAAATCTAAATAGCCCATTCCTTTTTGTGACAAAAGCTACAGATCTAAAAACAATATTTTGAAAAGCCCTTGAAAATTGTAGAAACGTGTGTCACTCATTGATATTTGTTTAAAACAAAAACATATCTTTTACATTTTTAAAAATCTTTTTCGACATTTTTTTAACCCTTCCTAGCACCTAAACTATTAATCTGTCTAATTTTTTTTTCAACGAGCTGGCCTTGAAAAATTAGGCTATGAACATTGAACATGTATTTAAATACAATACCTATTTTCTAAGGCCTTTTTATAGGGGAGGGGGGGGGGCCCCCCCCGGGCTATTCAAAGATTCAGACCCCCGTGCCTTTAAAGCCGTTAACTAAAAAACAAAATTATGAAAAAAGGAGATACCAATCATATCTTTAAAATTGTCCCATGTTTTGCAATGTTATCGATCCTATATCAGCATTGATGGCACTATATTACGTAAGATTATGGTTTATGGATTATGGTTTAACATAAATGGTAAAAATGTTAAAATGTTAAGCACAAAAATCACTGTTTTTATGTACTGCAGTTTTGAGAACGAAAATAAGCAGACAGAAGTTTGAGTTGCACATTATTCTTTAAATTTACATGGGACCGGGAGGAATGTAAACAGTGCAGTACATCAAAATATTAGAAGGTTTCTCCAGTATTAGTATATACGTTGTTGAACCCATGAAAGCTGGAATGAAACTAGCGAATAAAGTTTGTGTCCGCTCATTTTCTATACACTCATGTTAGGAGACCCATAGTCCCACCAGATCTCATACCAGAGATATATATTCTATACACTCATTATAGGAAACCCATAGTCCCATCAGATCTCATACCAGAGATATATATTCTTTACACTCATATTAGGAGACCCATAGTCCCACCAGATCTCATACCAGGGATATATATTCTATATAATTATATTAGGAGACCCATAGTCCCGTCAGATCTCATACCAGAGATATCTATTCTATATACTCATATTAGGAGACACATAGTCCCAACAGATCTCATACCAGGGATATATATTCTA